AAATAATTGCATAATCTCTTTCAAAGTCAGGCTCTTTCATGGACACTCTTTCGTATATTAAGATATTACTAAAATAAAGTGGTCTTCGTAACAAGTTCATATGGTCTTTTAGAAGTAACCAAGAGGTCTGATGCTTTCATAACCATTAGGTCTGATGTTCTGGCCAGATAGCAACATTTGTAAGAAAAGAATTATGATTCTTTTCTTACAAATGTAAGAAAAGAATAATGTCCCTGTTAAGTGATAAAAGCATAAGTACTTTTGGGAGCAAAATAACAACCAAAAATAAATGCTGCAATTACATTTGAAGATTGTATGCTAGATAATTTTTTTGATATTTACATTGCTCTTTCTCTTTGTGTTCTTGTAAAGAATAACCATATTAATTATGTTGGCTCAAAAGAGCTATAATTATACTAGTCTATAACAAAATAACACAATACATAAAGTATATAGAATATCATACAAAGCATATATATTTATATATATTCTCCATATTTCATATTATCATAACAGTTCTACTACAAAAATGTGAAAAAGCTGGCAGTTAATTTTTCTTTTTGTTTATACGTAAAAGCAAAACAATGGCCGGAACAACTTATTGAATTGGCATTAATGTACATTCACTATGATTATGAATTCAATTTCTAATCGTTTTTTGGATGAAGATATAGAAAACATGACACAATTATTTCTGCTCGCGATAAATAGGTTTTAATTGTTAAAATACTAACTAAAAAAAGAAAAACTTTACTATTAAACTGTAGCTATCGTAACCACTTTTTGACCAAAGTTAGATTTATTTTTAACTTTTTTCAAATAAAACATTATAAAAGTTTAAAAACTTTCATTATACTTAATTTGAAAACAGGCAATTAATGGAATGGCCAGTTTATTAAATGGAACTATCTGTTAAAATCATAAAAACAATAAAAATCGTTGATAGATTTTAAAATCATTTAATAAACATATACTTCTGCTTTTTTTTTAAAGAATTATTAAATTTTCATCCGTGATTCGTCATTTTTTAAAAATTTCTTTAAAACTTATTTAAAAATATATAAGAAATATTACCGCATAAATCACAAAGATCTAGAAAATGACTAAAACATTATGCATAAATTATACTTAAACCCTATTCATACTAAGTCGCACCTTGAAGGCGTGCTCTCAAGCTTTCCCAATTTTCTTAAAAACGTTTTGACTATTCATTTTATACTACACCACACCATTTTTCCTTTATATATGTATCAGGACCGATGACACCAGGGGGGGCCAGGGGGCACCTGCCCCCATTTTTTTTCTAAAAAACCTTTTTTTTATTTTTTTTTTTTCTAAAGAAAAATCTGGATATAGAGGACATTTTTCACAAATTGATGATTGTGCCCTCTCCCCCCCCCCTACTTCAAAACCCGTGTCGTTGGCCCTGTGTGTTATAATTCCATTCTTGAAAAAAATCAATATTTGAAGAGTGAATTTCCCAAAGGGTATAAATTCCAAAAAAAAAAGTTTTCCAAGAGGCAATAAAAACTGTTTTTTTTTTACACCGTTGTGACTTGCACAACAAGTTAAAAAGCGCATTTAAGACACTATGAACAGTACTATGAACAGAAAATAGTACTATAAACACTAGTATCGCTCCCATCTTTTATAAAATGAGAATCAGTGACAGTTACAATCTAAGCAGTTGACTAAAAATGAGGAACTTTGGCACCTACGCTTTTTTGGAAATGCACTCTTCATACTTGTTTTTATTTTTTTAAGAAGTAGAAGACTTCTTAAAAATATTGACCTGCCTCATAATAGCAACAGGAAAGTTGTCAAGGTTTGTTGTTTCAGAAAATTTAACTTTATTGATAATCCTCTTGAGTAATCTAGTTATACGTAAATACAGTTTCGAAAATAATATGGAACTTTACAACTTGTGGTGAAAACTTGAACAACTAGATGTTATTGTTTATGTGATTATTTAGTCACAAAAAATTTTTTAATAATGAGAATTATAGACCTGAATGGTTTTATTTGAGTGGCTTTAAGAGTATGCAAAATTTAACGTTAAATTTCAGTTTGTTGTTTAAAAATTCAACCTTATTGCTCCAAGAGCGTGACAGGATACCCTAGATTTCATCACATTAATATTGCGGTGTTGTGTATGTGACTATATAACCATGGAAAAATTTTTAATGTTAACAATTATGTCCTAACAATTTTTTAATTAGATTGCTTCAAATGTATGCAATATTTCAGATTCAATCGGTTAGTTGTTTAAAAGATTTAAGTTTCGCGTTCCGAGAGCGCGATTCGGTATAAAATAAGCTTTCACAACCCAATATGAACAGAGTTTATCATCAAAAACAAACACAAAGATTTTATAGAGGAATTTACTATTGCCTTTTTTTCATGCAATATACGAAGATCTTGGACTTGCTGAAAAATGTTGAATCTCTTGATCAATGCAGGACTTTTCATCAATTTATCAAGAAAAAAAATTCAATTTGATTATGAAAATAAATAAATGTTTCAATGTTATTTTTTAAGTATTTTTTAAACAATTTAAAGTTTTTTTACGCGTAAACTTGGTGACGGAAAATTCAGTTATCATTAAGGTTTATAAAGATCATCAATCTATTTGCATTAATGACCTTCATTAAGCTTAAAGTTTAATGACAGGTGTAGAATTCAAGATAAAAAAAAAGTAGTCCTAGTATAAACCTCTAAATAGTTCCACAAGTTAAATCTAACAAATTAGATAGATTGTTTTACTTTAAACATATTTTAATTTTTTTAAACTAGTAATTTAAATATTCAAACAGTTTATTTACTTTAAAGAAACGAAAAACAGTTTGTTTAAAGTAAGGCAATTTATCTAATTTGTTTGAGTAATTTGTGTAACTATTATAGGCTTTATACTAGGACCCTACTTTTTCAGCTGACTTAATAATGGTCATTAATCTAAATACATTGATGATCTTTATAAAACTTCAAACTTGATGACTGCTTTTAACAACCCCGAAATCCAGAGATTAAGCAATTAATCCGGGAATTTTTTTAAAAAAATCGTTTTTGGTGTAACATTTTAAAATTAAAATTTCTTCGATTAAGACTTTACTATTTTCATATTGAAAATTCATGAATTATTATTTTTTTCTTCGATTGCAATCAAATTCAAACATTACAGATTCGAAATTCTTTTTTGAATAATTGGGTTGGATTTATTATAATAATTGAAACTTGCAATTACATTCCTAAAATTTGTCGTTGCGTAGTCGCATTTACTCAAGTTTCTTCCAACTTTTATGTAGACGTTATTTGTTTGTGACAATTTTATTGTACTAGTTTTAATGCACGTGCCTCCCCCCCCCCCTCACTTTTTTTTTTAGAGGACATTTTTTTTTTTTTAAGAAAAGATTTTTTAAAGAATTTTTTTTTTAAGATGTAGAGGATTTTTTTTCACAAATTGATGATTGTGCCCCCCCCCTCACTTCAAAATCCGTGTCGTCGGCCCTGACTACTTATAATGGCTTCTTACATGGATTATAATAAAAAACATAATTCTGCAATTTGGAAACATTTCTTACGAGAGGAAAAAGGGCAGACAGCGATGCGTAAGTATACTGCAGAAAGATTTTAAAAATTGGAGGTACCTCTACGAAAGGTCTTCATACTTTCCGTCTCACTTTCTCTCTGTCCATAAAATTAACCTCACATCAGCAAATTGTACAAATTGTATACAAAATACAATAATATCACAATACAAATTGCATACAAAAAGGCATTAATAGACATAAGTTTACCGGAAGGTGAATCTTTGGCTTTATCTAGTAATGAGATAAAAACTGTATCTGTTATCATTAAAGCATAAGTTGAGGTCTTCGGGATGCTAATTTATTTACAGCCGATGTTGCCATAACTTTTATGTAAAAAAAAACTTAAAGATGTTAACCACGTTATAAGTCAAAATTTGCATTCATAGCTCGTTCTTCGATTGCAACAAAGGCGTACCAATGTAAGTGGAATTTTTCAGTATCTGCACAATGCATTGTGCATTTGAAGCGTCAAGTAACTTAACTATTAATTTGCGACAATTTATTGACGTAACTGTTACTAGTTCTGTTTCAGATTCGGACTAAAAGTTGATTCTACCATTGCAATGGTAGAATCAACTTTCAGTCCGAATCTGAAATAGAACTAGTAACAGTTACGTCAATAAATTATCGCAAATTAATAGTTAAGTTACTTGACGCTTCAAATGCATAACTATCTTTATAAAATAATATCTATTTATTTTTGTCATTAATTATTAATTTAAAAATTGAAAAGCTTTAACATCAAAAGATAAAATAAGACATATGCTCATTTCATCTTAAAGTGCACTAATTTACTATTATTATTTTTTTGGTGGACCTTACCCAATTACCCAATTGACTGCAAATCAGTATGCTGCAATTAGTTAAGAAAGCGTTTGGCAAGCTTTCAAAGATTTGGCAATTGTGATTTTCGGGGATAAATTTTATAAGGTGACTCATTGACAGCTTTGGACTTAAAGAAGGTTCAAGACATATTAAGTATTGGTATTACAATATTTTATTTAGCAACACTATTTCCCCTTGTTATGTATAATGAATATAATATATAACTATTAGTTTGCTCATATTTTTGCTTTTAGACTTCTTAGCTTAGCGATTTCCAAGGAAAAGTTATGCTATGTTTCAGTGCCGTGGCAAGTGGGTCTGGCCCTTCCCCCCCCAAAAAAAAAACTTGTCATTAGGGCCCCAATTTTTAAATTTTTGTTTTTATAAAGTGAACAAAATTTACAGATTACTTCGAAAAATCTGGCTACTTAACATATTTTAAAGTCGTCGTTCATAAGACTAAAACAATCAAATTAACGCTTAAATTCAATTAGATATTTTTTATAATTGTTAAATTGATACAGAGTTTACTAGTCGAGAGCTTCTTTAACTAATGTAAATGTATTATCCAGATAAAGTCGCAAATCATCAAAAAAAGGGTTTGCGACGTGTTTTCATGCTTGCAAATTCATTTATTATGCCTCCATAATTTAATTTTCTTGCAACCTCGTTTTCAATCGACAGCATTGCTAAGGAAGACAAACGTTCATCGACCATTGTTGACCTATTTAAAGATACAATGAAATATAGCTACATTTATTTATGTATAATTAAGCAAGATTATTTATACAAACCTATCAAATGTTTTAATTAGTTTTAACTTGCTGAGGCTACGTTCTGCACTTGCAACAGTGACTGGTAAAGTAAGAATGATTCGTAACGCAATAACTAGATTAGGATAAGTTTCTTGCAACTCTTCTTTGTAGATGTAGTTTAGAAAATCATGTGCAGATTTTAGTAAAGCATTTTTTTCCTCCTTTATAACAATGACAAATCGTTTTAACTCCATTTCTAAATCCTCAGAATCTATATCATTAAGCTTTATTTGCAAACTTTTGCAATATACAGACAGAGAATTTTCATTGCAAGATTTGATAAGACTCTCGGATCGGTAAAGAAAGTCAAAAAGCTTTGTAACAATGCTGATCTGTTAAAAACGCTCTTTTACTGATGCAATTGACATATCAATTAGTGGCAAAAAGAAATCTGCTTTATACTGATGTTCAGGTTGCCGAGTGTGATCAACGCACTCGTATGAATAAATTGATTTTTTTTTTCGTGAACGCACTATTGGAAAAATCATTTCAATTCCCAATAATTTTGCGATTTCTGACGCCTTAATACAAGCGTCAGAAAATCCATTTTCACGATACTCATAAAGAAATAAATTTGTTGCCTTTATTTCACAAGCTAAGATGTCGAGAGATACTGCAGGAGGCTGAAGCAGCTTACTTGATTTGTTGATTGATAATAAGAAAGGCCATGTTCTAATATATTCTGTCAGCGATCGTACTTCTGTGGCTGTTGCCCCATCTCTCTTTTCTAAGGCATGTTCTTCCAATCTTTCAAGTTCCTCTAAGATTTTTTTTAAATAATAGCGAAGTAGTTTAACACAGTTTATTTTACTTTCCCATCTGGTATCTGATTCAGTGATATTTTCGTACACGAGAACGAAAACGAGAACGAAAAAAAAAGCCTTTCGTTTACGAAAACGAAAACTAAAACGAAATTTATTTTAAGAACGAGAACAGAATAAAAACGATAATTTTAAATTTTCGAACGGAATAAAAACTGAATCGAAAATTATTTTAAAACGAAATATTTTCGTTCTAGATTTGAAACGAGTTGAATTATTTGATATATATAATTATTATATTAAAATACATTATAATGATGCATTATTCGAACTTAATTGAATTTTATTCAATTAAGTTCGAATAAGTTTAGTTATGATATAGTTCGAATATATTTATTCGAATATATTTTTTCGAACTAAAAAAAATCAAACTGTAAGACCAACACAACTACGCGATGAGTTTGAGTAAACTTTTTGCTTGTAGGAAGAGGAATAGTTCAGTATGGAAATGGTTTAAATACGATGCGTCATCCGACAAATCAGTATGTTTAGTTTTACTTGATGGTGAAAAAGTATGCAATACAAAGTTGTGTGGAAAGAACCCAACAAATCTTAAAGTAAGTTTATCTGTTAGAGGATATGTTTTCATTTTGAAACAAACGACTCATTTTTATCATTTTAGAGTAATTATTCAATAACGTATACGAACTTATTTATACATTAATTGATAAACAGATAGATAAATAAACATATACATATACAAACAAAAAATTATATAAATATGTTTATTTTTTTCTAGCTACATTTAGCAAGAAACCATAAGTCTGTACACGTTGAGCTGGAAGAGTCGGAATTAAAGAAATTAAGTGAAAAAAAGCAAACAGGGATAAAGAGAAAAGCAGTGGATGAAAATGGACCCACTCTTTTAGAATCGTCCTCAAATCAGAACCAGACCTTGATTCAATGCATTAATCGTAGGAATACCGCGAGGCCTATTAATTCACACGAGCATAAAATTCGACTAAACTCTCTTATTCAAATGATAATTGCAACATGTAATCCAGTGACATTGGTGGATAATGCGAGTTTTAGAAAGTTAGTTAATACCTTGGATTATAAATTTTCATTGCCTGCTTCTGCCAAAATTACTAGCCTACTTAATGAAAAATTTACTGTTTTAACGAGAAAACTTCGTGACTTCATATCTGAAGGCAGGCGCTTCACAATATGCCTTGATGGCTGGACTAAAAAAGGTCTTACTGCGTCCTTTTTAGGAATTTCGGTTTGTTTTTTTCACTTCAAATCCGAAAAACCAATACATGCTCTGCTTAATTTGTATCTTGTGAAACATCCACATACAGGTGAACAAATTGCTAATTGTTTTGAAAAATGCCTAAAATATTGGATAATTTCCAGAGAAAAAATATTGCTTGTTATTTCGGACAATGGAGCAAACATGGTCAAAGGCATAAAGTTGTCAAGAATGAAAGCTCAAGCTGGTAAGACTGTGATCAGCGACTGTTCTACAAGATGGAACAGCACTTACTTTATGGTTCGGAGATTTCTGGAAATAAAGACATCTATCAACGAAGTGCTTGGAGACCTTAACATTGATTCACTTGCCAATAGCGAATGGATAATGTTTCAGGATTTTGTCAATCTTTTAGAACCTTTTGCCAATGAAACTGATATTCTTCAGACGGATGCACTTTCACTATCCAGTGTTATACCTTCAATACTTAATTTAGAATGTCACCTTGAGCAATTTGGAGATGCCAAAGATGTAGCAGTTAAAATGCTTGAAGATCTACGCCGTCGTTTTGCCGTTCTTTTGCAGCCAAACGATCCTAATTTTAATCCACTGCCATGTGCCGCATGTCTACTTGACCCCACATGTGCAATAGCTCTTTTAGGTAATGAGCATACACAAATCAGAGTGTGCAAAGAAATACATTTTTGTCAGAGGCTAAAAAATCGGTGCAACATGATTTACCTTTAGCAAGTGCATCTACTCTTTCTGTTGAGATTGCTCCAGAAATAAATGGATTAACAAAATGGAAATTTTTAGCGGCAAAACAGCGAGTAGAAAAAATAAAGCTTATTCCAGGTAATGAAGCACTAAATGAACTCAACAAATATTTTATTGAAATAAGGAACAGCTCTATGTGCCAAAATGCTTTAAATTTCTGGAAGATGAGACGTGCTGTTTACCCACATATTGCACCATTAGCTGAAGACCTCATTGCAGCTCCTGCAACTCAAGCATATGTTGAAAGACTTTTTTCAATCTGTGGCTTGCTCACAAATGGACGGAGAAATCGAATGTCAGCGTCATTGGAAATGCGAGTTTTCTTAAAACTAAATTCTCATCTAGTCTAGATGATAATCATATAATCACTAGGCCCTTTATTTGTAAAATATATGAGTAATTATTAAAGTCTATACAATAACTATTCATTAGTTTTTATTGTTACCAAATTTGAGGAGTTTTTTTTATACCTAATAATTGAAATTTTTTTAAGTTTTAGAGCAATAAGGACAGGTTGTTGTTGTGTTTTTTATTAAGGGCGGTGGGCGGGGCTCTAAACTTCTAGCCATGGGACTGGGTGTATTACATTTAATTAAGTTCTCATTTTTTTGTTTGTTTACAGAACTAAGACTTACTTCTTTTAATTATATATGCCTATATTATTTATAAATTATACTAAATTATAATTAGATGAGATAAAAAATTTATACGACAAACGAAAATTGAACTAAATATAAACTAAAACTAAAATTATTTTAAGATGAACTGAATAAAAACTAGAACTAAATTTATTTACTGAACTGAATAAGAACTAGAACTAAAAACTTTGCCTCTAAACTGAATAAAAACTAAAACTAAAATTAATTTCCGAACAAAAATATCACTGATCTGATTGTAGTTTGACAGAATTTGCCGTGCATGATTTTAAAATTTCCCATCGAGGAGGAGACGATGAAATGAGTGTATATAACCTTGAAAGAACACCAAAAAAAGAAATTGCACTGATGGATGACAGTGCACCATTAACAATAACAAGATTGAGTGAATGGTTTGCACAAGGAACATATAAGGCCTTAGGATTCATTTCCAGAAACCTTGCTTGAACACCTTTTATTTTTACTTTCATATTAACACCATTATCATAAGATTGACCTCTACAGTCTAAAATATTTAAATCCTAATCTTTTGCCTGATTTAAAAATGTATCAAATAGCCTTTTTCCAGTGGTTTCATTTACTGTGAGATACCCAAAAAAAATTTCGGAAATGTCTATACCTACTCCAGGAGTTCATGTTACTGATCGCAGAATAATGCTCATCTTTGTGCGAAATGTCTGGCGTACAATCTAAAATAATTGAATAGTACTTTGCCTTTTTTACCCTAGATAGGTTTTTGGATTCAATCTCTTTGGTTAAAAGTCTAATCAACTTGTTCTGTGTGTCATTGCTCAAATAGTGCTCCTTGGTTTCTTTGTCCTGAATTCTTTGCATAAGCTCATTGAGAACGGTATCGTACTTAGCCAGTAATTCAAACACCCCAAGAAAGTTTTCATTGCTCTTAGAACCAATGGTTGTGTCTGAACCACGGAATGCAAAATTTCTTGCAGAAAGAAATAAGGTAATGTCAAGTATTCTTTCTAACACAGCTCTCCAAAATGTCCGCTCTTTATGAAGCAACTTTTGTTGTTGCTTGTCTATGGTAGCTTGATTTGCTATACCTGCATTACCAAAATTGAGGAAAAAAATTAAATGAGAATAAAAAAAGAAAAATAAAATAAATTAAAAGAAATATCAGTTAACCTTTTCGTAAAGTCATCCATTGTTCAAAGCACTTAAAATTTGCACTGCATGTTTCGTGTTCTTTAAGTTTTTTTGATAAGCCTTCCTAAGTGTTCATTCCTTGTCGGAATGGTGAAGAGGTTATCCCAAAAAGTTTGCAACAAAAACAAAACACTTTGTTGCTATTTAAAGAATATATGAACCATGTCCGTTCGAAGATTTCTCCATTCTTCATCTTGCGATTATAATAATTTATTGAAAATCGTCTTCTTTCTAAATTGTATGGAAAATCAATTTCAATTTTTTTGAAACCCCGTTTAACAATGTCACACCTTTGTGCGTCGAAAACATTATCTGGCTACTCAGAAGGATCATCACTGAGAAAAATAGGCGGAATTGTTATGCCATTTGATGTAGACTCGCATACCAACCTATCTGACTCTACTCTGGTATTCAAATAATGACAATCAGAATTATTTGTAGTTTTTGTTGGTATCGAAACACTACCAGACTGAACTGCTGGTTTCAAAAAATGTGTTAGTTTGGGGTACTTTGTGATTTCCTCCCTGGCTGCAGCTTTCTCTTCTCTTTGTGGCACCACTTTTAATTTTTTTCATACCAATAATTATATTGTGAAAACTAACGAAAGATAATTATAAATTTTTGGAAACCTTCTTTCATTGTTTTTATGATATAAAAAAACTAACAACGCATAATCTTAAAAAATTAATATGATTAAGACCATATAATAAAATTACTATTATTAAACACTACAAAATGTTGTTATTCAAGTTTAAGAATATATAAATCATACTACATGAATACAAAATTTTAAAAATGTGTTTACTAATATTCACTTTTTGTATAATAGTTGGAAGAGCATGGTGCTGCTTTTCCAATTATCATACCACACACCTTCATTGAGCATTAACCTTTTGTTATCATTTTTAATAACCATTCATCAAATATTTCTTTTCATTATTGATTCATTAAATGTATAATTTTCTTTTTGTGGGTAAAGATTTACTTTTTGATAACTATTTTTGCACCGAGATAACTTCCTTATTTGTATATAAAATTAAAGTGAATTATTGAACCAAAACTCTGTAACTATGCAGTAACAAATTTTGTGAGTAGGCGAATAATTACTGATGAACAAGAAGGAAATATAAGGAGATGCGTAAAACCGTGATAATACGGCATGGGCATTTGGGAACCACTTTTATTTTGCGTAATATTACGGCGTGGACATTAAGAAACCACTTTAAGTTTGCGTAATATTACGGTTTGGACTGGTATCGAGTTCAACTTTATTTTTTTTTCTTTTGCATGAAAAATATTATTGCTTTTATAACGCTTGCATAATTAAAGTAATATCGTAATTAAAAGGCCAAGTTTTTTATTAATAGTTACAGTAACAATATATTTCAATATTTTTATTATAAAAAACACACACAAAAAAAAATTTAACTTTCGATAAGGGCCCCTAAAAATGCTTCCCCCCCGCCTAATTGGGGTGTGTGGGGGAGCCTAGCCACGGCTCTGCTATGTTTAGAAAAGCAAATATTGCAAAGTGCAATGATGAAAGCAAATTTGCTAAACGAAGCATTGATGTTTAGAAGAAAACTATTGTTTATAGAGAGCATAATAGTAATAGTAATAATAATTGGTATAATTTATAGCAATAACTGAATTGCTAACTTAATCAATATTCTGTTGTTCGCTTTTTTTTTTTTGTGAATTTATTTCCCTGGTTTTTATTAAGTTAAGAACTAAAAAATAATGCTCAAGATCTACCAATATTACGTACATACCTGTTTTAAATCATGATATTCTTATAGAAGATATTCGTATTAAATATCCTTTAACAACTGCAAAGAACAATCCGATAAAATGTCAAACAAGATTAAATATTGTTACTGTATATATAAGGCTATAAAATATTGTTCATTCGATGTCTTATAAAACACTGAAATATGTTCAAGAATCCTATTCAATCTTGTTCCAAAATCTTATAGGAGTTTTTATCCTATAAGACACCGAATGAACAATATCCTATAGTTTAAATGTACAGAAATCCTTCTCAAATAAATACGATATCTGTGAATATAAAACTATAGGAGATTGTTTATTCGGTGTCTTATAGGATAAAACTTCTATAAGGTATTATAACAGGATTGAATAGGATTCTTGTACGTCTTTACCTATCTACTAATTGACTAAAAGTCGGTTTAATCGAGTAAAAATCTTAAAGTCTATATATCTTTTCATTCGATTTAACTTTTCAATCTTTAATTGTTTGTTCATTTAATAACAATGGCATGTAATTCATCATGTTAGCATTATTTATACATAATTAAACATTCGGTTATGTATTTCATTTCAAAAAAAAAAAAAAAATTATTCCCATACTTGTTTAAATAACTTGAAAAACTCTAAAAATCGACAAAATCGACTTTTAGAGTTTTTCAAGTTATTTAAATTTCATTAAACTTAGTTAACCTATCTTGTCTGAAGCCATATAGAAAACGCATTATATACCAGAATTTTTTTTTAAAAAAGGATATTTTTTTCAATACTTTTATTTCTGTTAAAAAAAAAAATTGATCAAAATAAAAAAAACATGATTTCGGACTCCATTATAAGAAATAAATTAAACGAGATATTTCAGTAATAACTAAATTTCTCCAAGTAGATTAAGCTAAAACAGAAAAAAAGGAGATTAAATTTTTGAAAAATAAGTTAAAAGTTTTTTACAAATAAGTAAAAAGACGTATGAAAAAAAAAAAACAAAAAAAAAAAAAAACAAAAAAACATTAACAAAATAATCATAAATAACAAATTGATTGATAAGTCACGAAGTAGTTTTTAAATTAAAAAAAACCTCACTTGTTTCACAAATTGAGTCGCGTTAAGTAATTCACTACACCCATATATGATTTTTTTTTGTTGTTTTCCATGACGCTACCATAGTGAATTAAAGAAATAAAAAATATTAAAAAAACCCATAATAATATAAACAAAAAAGATTAATAAACAAAGCAGAGTTCATAACAAAACTTAACATGAAAAAGAAAGAAAAAAGGAATAAAAAAAAATCTAGACCTAATCTAGATTTTTTTAAAATAGAACACCAGTTTAAAATAGAACACCAGTTTAAATAGAACACCAGTTTAAAATAGAACACCAGTTTAAAATAGAACACCAGTTTAAATAGAACACCAGTTTAAAATAGAACACCAGTTTAAAATAGAACACCAGTTTAAAATAGAACATCAGTTTAAAATAGAACACCAGTTTAAATAGAACACCAGTTTAAATAGAACACCAGTTTAAAATAGAACACCAGTTTAAATAGTATATACTGACAGTGCCGTTCTGAGGGGAACGTCTAACCCCCTAGAAAATTTATTAGTCGGCAAATTTGGACAATGCAGTCGGCAAAACTAGATATGTAGATGACAAATGTTAGCCGACGAGGACCCTGTTTTTTTATTATCTTTTTAAATTTTGGTATCAACATATTTCAACTCCCCTTCCCCTCACATCACCAAAAAATTCTGAACTTGTCGCTGAATTTTGTGACCTGTTGTTAGATTTTTTAATAATGGGAATTGATGAGTTCAACTTAGTTATTTATTTTATTCAAAATTATTAATTTTAATTAAAATACTGTATATAGCTATTTATACCCAATGATTTTCATCATTCAAGTCATATTTAAAAACCCTGAAAACATTTTGCAAAAAAATTACGGAATATATTTCCCTTATTTACGTCTAAAATTGGCTTTCAACTGATAGCTTTCTAAACCTTTTAATAACTTTTGTTTGGATAATGACTGAAAAAGTTCAAAAAGAAATATATTACAAACATATGAGTGGGTCAGAAGCCAAGGGGTACAAGTGACATTTTCATAGTTTTGAGATGCAGCTGTTTAAAGTTAAAGTATTTTTGTTAAATATACTCAGCTGTTGTTATGTTTTTCCAGTAGAAAGCAGCACAGGGCAGAGATTCACTTGTATCGCTTGGCCACCAACAATTTTGTTTGCTTCTTCTATCAAATTTTATACTTAACTTAATTTTGGTAAAATTGTCACTTGTACCCCTTGGCTTCTGACCCACTCATACATATTTAAATTTATATTTACGGAAAACTTTTTGGAAATGCGGAAAAACTTAAATTTGAAAAAATATCTAATTTTTATTTTTTATTTTCACTCGTGTCCATTATATAAAAATGATTTTTAATTTTTTCTACCGAAACACATCATGAGATATTTTAAAAGATTTACTTTTTTTTTAAATTATGTGACAGGTTCTTCTAAGTTAGCTTGAGCTATTGATCAAATATTTGTGACATGGAACTTTGAGGCGAGTTTTAAGGACAAACCCAAGATTAAGAGTTACAAGGCCTACGCAAACATTTTCGAGACCAAACACTTCAATTTTTACCTTACGTCAAGACCAATTATTAATAAAACTGTAAACCACATTTTGTAAAATTAGACCAAAGTTATGCGCAGAATTCAACGAAATCTTTAAGAAAATACGTATTTTTTTTTAAGGACAAAACAGTTAAGGCGAGGCCAAAATTTTCAAAGCCAAGACCAAGGCCAAGGCCAACAGTTTCAAGGCCAAGGCATCAATTTTTGGCCTTAAGGCCAGGCCAAGGCCAAAGACTAACAACTCTGGTTAAAAGCATAAGCGAAATCAAGATAAATACCAAGTTGAAAAATGAAGTTGAGCGTTTCAAGGAGAATTGATTTTGTTTAGTTTTGATTTTAAAAACCTATCGCTTAAACAATGTAAAAGTATTGCTAGATAATGATTTCTTAAAAAAGAATTTTACAAAATCTTCCAAAATATTATACTCAGTGAAAGTTTTTCAGCAGTCTGAACAACAGATTTTATGTCAGGAAACTGGGCTGTAGTTTGATACAAACACCTTTTCTTAAAAAATTGTTTTATCTGTGGACTGAACTGATAACATGGAATTTATAGAAGCTTGAAAAACTAAAAGTTTCGAATGAACAAGATCAGGTCTCATTGATTTATTTCATTTTATGTCCTGTTAATTTAAAATTTTATAGTAATAATACAACGATTAAATTCAAAGTCATCACATCACACACCACTAACCAATTTATTGTTAAGTATATCTGCAATCGTAATTGGACAATTAAAAACGCTAGGATTAATACTTAATTGATTAATAATAAAAAAATAAACTAAAAAAAAAAAAAAATACCTTTTCATAACCTATAAGGTTTGCATATTCAATATAATTTCCACCACCTACCATGAAGACAATTGCCTAAATTTGTACAAAATAAAATCTATACTTCTAAAATAAATAAAATTTATGAACTTTTAACGAATATATTAAAAAAATACATCACTGTATGGTGTTTTATTTTTCATCAGACTAGCTTCATTAACTTTAAGCATCTTTGGATCAAAGTATCTATAGTTTTCAATCTCAGGAATGTTTTTTTGTTCCATAATTGCATCAACTATTCTGGTGACAGGAAGCTTTTTCGTTCCCACAACTAAATTTTTGACACCTTCCATAACAAATTGTGATCCTGTACTCATTATACGTGAAAACATTGCACTATATGCATTTTGTCCAGTGCTTGTTTGAATGGAATCAGTTGTAACTTTATTGAAAGTCTTCCACTTTTTAATATAGTTTATTGAACCCAAATTACAACCAGCTACTTCTAGAGCTTTGACATGAGCTTCAAAATCATTCTAAAAAATTACGAAGTACATTTTTTGAACAAGAATAAATTTGTTATACTCTAACAGTACTTTCATAAAACTAAATATTAAAACTGATTTGTGTTGGGATGCATGGATATATTTGATAATAAGAAAGCCAAGTTACTTTTTTTCACGTTTTACACTTAACATCAATGCATAAGGTTAAACATCTTTACAAAAATACTTCATAACTATTTCAAATTCAAAAGTAACTTCCATGTTTTTGTACGTCTATTAAAAAAATCATGTTAGTAACAGTTATAACTCTCTGTCATCATTAAAGCTTCTACTACTGACGTTAGACTAACATCTAAACCATTGCATCTAAACCATTGCATCTATACCATTGCAGATAACTTCACTAAAGTACTTATTATAATTTAATTAATAATAATATTATAATTTAATTAATAATAATATTATTATTTATTTATATACAATAATAATTTTAAATAGATTTATTATTTAATAACAAAATGATGGTATTATGTATATTACTATTATGTATATCCTTTTTTAAATCTAAGTATTGTTGTACATGTTAAACTGAAACTTATTTTAACTGAGACACTTTTATTATCGAATTTATTATTATCTTGCCTTAGCATCTATATAAAATATATTAAAAATAAGCACAATTTACAATTACCTCCGCCATAGTTGGTGTTGACATATAATATATTAAAAATAACCGCAATTTATCTTCTGGAGTTCCAACTTTATAAAGAATAAAAATTAAGATGTTATTAACTATTTTTCTTTTTTTCTGTTATTAATATATTACTTATAATTTGTTTGTTTTTTATATTATTTTAATATAAAAAAAATATATAAAAAAGATTTAATAAAATTATTACTTAAAAGTAGAAAATGAAATAAAAACCTTCAGCATCTTGTATCAACTCTATAACAGATTTATCCTGGATTCCAAAATACAAAATTTTAAATTACTAAAATAATTGTACATTTTTAAAATTATTAAAGAATCTTTTTAGAAGTATAAGATTATAATATTTTATCCTTTTTAAAAAATAATCCTCTTCTATATAAAATATGGTGTATTTTGAACATAGATAAAGTCTTATTAAATCATTCTGCCTTTAATGTCAAAAAAAGGCTCCCATTTCTGTGAGAAATGTGATTCTATGGTCACATTTCTGTAAATTGTAGTAATGAGAAATAAAATCTAATTTATAAAGACAATAAAAAATATTAGGCTTTATGCAAAGTTAATTTCTAATACTTTTGGTCAGAATGCAGCTATTTCTTTTGTTAGTTTTATATTTAACAGTTTAAACACAACCTGTTTTGCTTAACTATTTCAACAGAGAGCTGCTGAATAGAAATTTTTTTTTCACTTTATTTTTATTAACTATTATGCAGCAGTAGACCACTTTGCTCATGATTTTGAGGTTCAAATCCTTTTTATGCTTTGTTTAGAAAAGTTCATTTTAGAATTTGGAGTTGAAAGAGTTACAAATAAATACCTAGGGCTGCAAATTGAATAATGTTAATTTAATTTAGTAAAAGTAAGTTTTTTCTTGCCATTACAAATAATTTTTCCAAAATAACATTGCAATGTTGAACTTAGTTTTTGAATGTTAACAACATTCAAAAAACATAAAAGTAAAAACTTATTTAAAGTGCTTTATGTTAATGTTGATGTTTTTATAAAAAGTATACTTTATCATTTGGATTAAAATTAATCTGAGATAAACTTAACAAATGAACTTAACATTTATTTAGATTATAGTAAAAACTTATGGCAACAATGGATGTTTTAGAATCAACTTTGTTTAGAAAAGATTAAAGTAAATATCTTGAAAATTACTTTAGAGTGCAAGAATGAAAATCTTAAAAGAAGTTGAGGGTGTATTTACCATTTTAATTACTGTATCTAAATTTGCTAATCATAACACATGCTTAATATTTTGACAAGGATCTACTGACCCAAACAGTCAAAGTACCAGTTTCATTTTATTGCATTACACTATCAATGCCATTAGTATGAGTTTGGTTAATGTGTAATGGCAAACATTTTTATTCACCTGAATGCATTTAGAACACCAATTAAATTCATTTGCTTGAAAACGCAGCTAATGTGAAAGGATCTTTTAATTAACCAGGAGCTCTCTGCAAATGCCTTGACTATTCTGTTGACAAATTGTTATCAAAAAAAAACTTTTTGATTTAGTTAAAACCCTCATTAGAATTATTTTCATGCATCATACAAAAAAAATTAGAACTAGATATTTAATGATATTATTGGTTAATGCCAACAAATAACAAACCAAAACTCAACCTTAGTACAGGCTAAAGAAGTTTTGAAAAATCACTTGTTTTCAAAATCTCCTGATTGTAAATATTGAAAAAATTAAAATTAAAATAAAGTCAAATAATATTTTGATCAAAAAAAGATTGGAAAGAAGGTTGGAAACAAAGGTTCTGTTATATTTTTAAAATTAAAACTCCTCAATAAATTTTATTTTAAAAATTGAGTATGGAAAAATATACCAGAGTTGACTTGCCCATTATTTTTTCTTCTGTTTCAAAAAAAATATCCAGTTTTCTATGCTAATAAAAAAAAGAAAAAATTAACATAATTCAAAGAAAAAAAAAGAAAAAAAAAAAGTATAGAAAAAAAAAAAAAAACTCTTTTTTTCTTATAATAAATATATATTTTATAGACAAATATATACTTTTTTTTTTTATAAAAAATAAAAATTGACCTATATATATATATATATATATATATATATATATATATATATATATATATATATATATATATATATATATATATATATATATATATATATATATATATATATATATATATATATATATATATATATATATATATATATATATATATATATATATATATATATATATATATATACTTTTACAGTTACAGCCTAAAAGATCCAAGCACTTATAAAAATTTGAATTAACTATTTTAATTGCAAAATAACTATTTTAAATGTGTGCTGGAAATACACTAAACTTAATCACAAGTTGCCTAGGTGACTATGTAGTTGTGTAATCAATAGAAAAATATTTTATATGCACTATATACATTAAAATCAGGTGTAATGCAATTATTATTATCTTGAAGTATGACTAAAACATCACTTGCTTTATAATGCATAAGCACAATGTTTAATTGAAAACAACAAATCTATTCAAATGATTGCTTCATATTTAAAGATATCTTAGATACAATATTATCTTTTTCCGATATTATTCAGTGCATCAAGTCAACAGTTGGCATCAATTCAAGAAAATCCTTTGGAAGACCAATAACTACCCCTCAAAAGTCAACAACATGATAAATCGTTTGGCTGTGAAGAACATACAAATATCAGCTTACAAATTCTTACACAACTGCCTCCCAGTGCAAATGATAGTGTCCAATTAATTTGAATATTGTATTAGAGCCATGTGTGAAAACTTCTCATAAAAAGTTGTTTGCCACACAAAAATTTGATTTTCACCAACAACGAAAATCACACTTAAATCTTAAACATTATAAACATGCAACATTGTTGTATCTTCAACTAAGCAACTTCCAGCAATTTGGGGTGCTTGGGATTCGGGGTGCTTGTGCTTGTTAAACTCTATACAACAAGATGAGATTGTTGATTGCATAATTTCTTCAATGTGTTATATTGATTTTGAATTAGAACTGTTGATGATTGTAAGCACAACAGGGCAGCTGTCAAAAATTGTCAACTTATAACTCCAAGTCAAAAGCCAAAAATTGACTAGTTACAACTCTAAGAAAATGCTATTAATGCTCTTGTTCTGCAACAGGGCCATTCAACTATTTAAACTTCATTGAAACTATTGGGTAAATTTGGAAGCAGAAGTATCTAAACAGAATCTTATTAGCAGATCTAAGTAAAACAAGGGTTGAATTAACTGTGTCCTTTGTTTTCAAAGGACAAATCAATTTGTTAGCAAAAAGTTATAAAAAATAAAATAATAAACTTACGACTACAAAAGTAATAACACTCTAGTAACTAACTGCATTATCAAAGTATTAACACTATAATAGTGTTATTACATTTATAACACACTTTTTAATTCATTCTTTATTCAAACAAAAAAAGTAATCCCAAATTTTAATTGAAATAGGAAAGCATCTAGAAAAATAGAGTGGGGATATTCAAATAATATTTAAAACTTATAAAGGAACTAAAACAACTTCATAAAAACGTTTTCATTATGAAAAATATTTCTAATGGTCCAAAAAAACGGGCATTAATTTTAAAATCAACTAATAAAAACTTTTTTATAGGTTGATTTTAAAATTAATGCGGGTTTTTCCGGGCCATTAGTAATAGTTTAGAAATGCTAAACTGTTTATAAAAGTACATATACAAAAAGTTGTTGAAGTTTTAAAATTACTTAAATATGCATTCTATTTTTTTTAGATGCATTTCTACCTCAATTAAAACTTGAGATTACTTATTTAAATCACTTTTATTTATGATATTTTGATTAAGTGTTGCATAAACAAACAATAAATTATAAATGTAAGATATAAGTTAAAAAAGTGAAAACACAATTATAGTGTTTACATTTTTATAACACAGTTAGTGATTATAGTGTTATTATTTTGGTAGTCGTAAGTTTATTGTTTTCTTTTTGTTTTATATAACTTTTTTGCTAAGCTAATTCGCCCATAAATACATAGTTTACGGTCTTGCATAAACTTTGACTTTGAAGACCAGATTTTTTTAAAGATATTGCATTTCGCGATAGCTTAATTCAACCCTTGTAAAACAGTTTAAAAAAATAATGCCAAAATATTCTTACTCCTTTGTTGCCTAATTGCCACAAAGAATAAAAGCTTAAAAGCTCATACCCAGTAATATGAGCCCATACAAAAATACTAAACCATGTGTTATACTTTGACTTTTTGATTCTTTATTTATATAATTATGTTTCTTTTTGTTGTTGTATTAAAATATTTAGGGTAGACTATACAGTTAAAAGTTTTTTTCTATAAAGTTTGAGTGGTTGGATTTTTTTGGCCAAATATATATATATATATATATATATATATATATATATATATATATATATATATATATATATATATATATATATATATATATATGCAAAATTCAGAGGATTTCAGAGTCTGCGAAATTCAGAGGATTTCAGTTTGACATAAGCGTGCCGACCTTAGCCGACATCAGGTCAGCGAAAAAAAAAAAAGAAAATTAGATTTTTTGCTTTCTGTTACAATAGGGGTAATGATTAATTAATTATAAAAGGATTGCTTTATAATAACATAGCTTCAGACAATAATATTTTAAAGAATGCAATTAAATTTTGTGTAGTAAATTAAGTATATAGCAAATTTATGAATTAGTGATTTTTTAGTTTTGAAGTTTTTTTTTTTTTTTGTTATTCACCTCCTCAAGGCTGAGAAGGCCACTACAGACGAGGAGGCTACTTAATAGTGGTTATAACCCTCTCTCAACTCTATAACTCTGAAACACGAACCTTGACGAACAAGGCCGCTGTGCGAAGAAACAAGTTGAGCGCGGTACTACTAGGGACGTGGTGGGGATCGAACTCCGAACCTCTCGCTTATGAAGCGAGTGTTTTACCACTACACCACTACTTGTTTTTTTTTACAAAAAAAATGGTCATAGTATATTTTAGGAGTGGCGTTTTTCAATATTTAATTGTAGTATAGTATGAACTTGTTAACTATATGTATGATGGAGGGAAAACAAAAGTTAAAAATACTAAAAATAGTTGTTTTTTTCTTATATATAAATATTGTTTCTTAACAATGGCAATTGTCTTATTGACGTATTTTCATAATTTACTCATCATCAGAATTTTCTGTCCAATCAACAGAAATATTGCTCAAGTTAATGTTAGAAATCAAATTTTCTTGATCAGAAGATTCACTGTCAGAAGAAACAAGAGTTTGCGAAGCAGTCATTACTGAAGTCGTTTTGTTTTTGCGTATTTTTGATTTTTTAACATTAGCATGGCTCTGTATCGGCCTTGGATTATTTTTTACTTTGCTATTTAAGTATTGGTTCAAAAATAATTCTATAGTATGATCATAAAATGTTTCATCAAAACTAAATAAAAACTTAATTAAACTTAATAAAATAATAATTGCTCTTAAATTGCGATTAAAAAAAGTGTGAGAACAACAGGCATTTAAAAAGTAGTATTTTTTAACTTTTAAATGAACCTTGCTATGCTTGAATAAATAGGAGAAAAAAAGAAAAAATGAATTGAAAAAAATGAATGAATTTTTGTTTATATAAAACTTGTCAAACTTGAAAAGCAAGTAATTACAATAAATAAATTATAAACTATCATTACAAAGAAAGGTCAGCTTTTGTGCCGGTATTGCTGAATGCTGATCTGAATTTCGCAGACTGTTTATATAAATATATATATATAAATATATATATATATAAATATATATATATATAAATATATATATATAAATATATATATATATATAAATATATATATATATATATAAATATATATATATAAATATATATATATATAAATATATTTACATAAATATATATATATATAAATATATATATATATAAATATATATATAAATAAATATATATATATAAATATATATATATAATATATATATATATATATATATATATATATATATATATATATATATATATATATATATATATATATATATATATATATATATATATATATATATATATATATAAATCAAAATATTACTTTAATATGTTCCAGCATTGATGTAGCAATTGTCATATGTGTATCTATTAATCTTTTTTTTTCAAGTAACATAGGGAGAGAGCTGAAAACAATAAAAAATATAAGTATATGAACAATAATAAAAATTATAATGAAAATAATAAAGTGAAAAAAGAAAGATATATATTCTAAATAAGTTACTTTTACAAATATAACATGGTATTTTCAATATAGTTTAATATAGTTGTGAAGAAATGGTATTAGCACTCTTGTAAAGAACCAAAGTTTGTTTATGAATTGGTACATAAATAAAACAGAATATTGATTACTCAAGGAAAAAAAAAAAAAAAACAAGGTTAAAAAAGCAAAACCGAAAAATGTAAATTTTTAAATAACAAAAGTTAAAGCTGTGGTAGTTTTATCACGAAAACATTTTCTATTTTGTATTATTGTGTATATCCCAGAGAATCAATAACTTGCTTTAAATTTTCAGTCCTTGACTATATAAATGTTGAACAATTTGCGCCTGTTCATAATAATAGGCCGATTAAAATTTCATTCTATTACATTTATTCATCAATATTAATATTAGGAAATAATAAAACCTCTGCAAACTTTAGTGAATTTCCAAATTTTCTAGGAACTTTTGTTTCTCTTTTGCTGTTACAGTAATCCTTAAACTTGTTTCTTTAAACCCGAAAATAAAATGAAGCATTTGCATAAAGTACTACAACACATTTTCCTTTTTAACAATCTATTTTTTTAATAATTTGTTTAAAAAGGATTTAATAAACAGTTAATGAAGCCAAAACTTAAGTTTAAAGCTGATTGTTATTTTTTATAATATTTTTTATATTTTACAAGATACTGTGCAACATCTATTAACTTCAATAGTTTGATATCAACAATATATAAAGAAGTGTATTTTTGTGGTATTTTTTAATTTTTTTTTTTTTTACATTACTAAATGAGTAATTGGAGAATACCGAGAGATATTTAAAGAGTTAATCTATCTTTTTTTTCTTTTTTGAATTCTGATTCATTCCCAACAAAGCTGCATGCTGATTCACTCTGATTCACTCCCAACAAGGCTGCAAACAACCACTATTAAGTCGGGAGTTACTAGAAAAAAAGAATAGAGTTATAGAGTAAGGAAACGGTTAACAGATAATTTGAAAAGATTGTATCAGGAAAACATGAAGATGGGAGAGAGTTCCAAAGCAATAAAGTGCAGGGAGAAAAACTAGAAAAAGTTTTTAGAGCATGCAGGGACAGATACAGTAAGATGAGACTTAGCTGAATGACAAGTCAAGTGAGAATGAGTTTTAGTTGATGGAACTAGAGATAATAGCAACCATAATAGTATTTGTAGAAAAGATAAAGATATGCAACTTTACAATGATGGGAAAGAGGTTCAGGCTTAGCAAATAGAGCGGGTCCAACTGTGTTTACAATGCATTTTTGGACCTTGTCAAGAAGAGAAAGAGCATCATTAGAATAACCAGTCCAAATATGACAACAGTATTCCATACAGGGACGAATAAGAGATTTTTGGAGGTAGAGAAAGGAATCAAGAGAGAGAAAATGGTGAGCATGATAAAGAGAAGCAACCTTAGCAGATGCTAATTTAATAATTGATTGTATATATAGTTTCCATGAAAGGCCAGTAGTAAACAATAATCCAAGAAGACATAAAGAAGAGGACTCGTGAGAGGGTTGCCATTCATTAATATAGGAATGTCGACAGTATTGAAATAGTTGTTTGCAGTAAATAATTGAGTTTTGTTGTAGTTAAAATTTACAAGCCACTGCGAGCTCCAATCTGTTACATAAGTGAGATCAGATTCAAGATTGGCTACCTGTTTTAAGTGATCGAAAAGAGATTTTTTGTCAAGACAGGAGTATTAAGTTGAGTATCAGCGAAAAGAGCTATTTTAGATGTAAGGTTGTCGGAAAGATCATTAATATAAATAAGAAACAAAACAGGACCTAAGATAGAACCCTGAGGTATCCTAGAAGTTACTGGAAATAAATAAGAGTGTTGGCCTTTGAGGATGACTTTAATAAAGCGGTTAGAAAGAAACAATTTGATAATCTCAAAAACTTTACAAGATACGCCATGTAAAACAAGCTTATTGAGAAACCTAGCATGCAAAACTTTGTAAAAAAGCCTTACATATGTCAAGAGTAATAGCCCTAGCCTTTCTGCACCATCTATAAAATCTTTCAGTCACAGAAGTTAGCAAGTCAGCCATAGAGTGAGAGGATTGAAAACTGTATTAATTGTCTGACGGTAAGTTATTTGACTCAAGATGGGATGTGAGAAATTTGGTGAATTCTTACTGATCGCTAAACTCAAAGAGCATTGGTAACATGTACTTTAGTAAAGAAACTTCATGTTCTGCAAGTATAGTATAGAAACCTTATGTTCTACAAATATAGCATAGAAAGTTCATGTTCTGCAAAGAGTTTCTTTAATATTTGAAGATACTCCTCAAGAGATTTGAAGATTCTCTACTAATATTTTCCCAGAAACAATAAAAACACTTAAAAGAACACGAGCAATAAATAATCTTTTACTTTTAAATTGTTTGCAAAAACTGCAATAATTAAAAACCATTTATAAAAGTTAAACAAACATTGATTGTTTAAACTATATTCATGTAAAAAAAACTAATGAATTAAATATATTTCTCCAGACTAAAGAAAAATTACACAGCTATATGACCAACAAAACGTAAAAACACCATTATATTATGGAAAAAAAAAATTAAAAGAAAAGAAAATAATTATAAATCACAAATAATAGTAAATAAAAAAAACTTTTGTAAAAGATCAATTCATTTGAGATGATGAAGCTGCTAATCTTTTAAACGATTTTCTAATAAACATAAATTGTTAAAAAAGACAAGAATAATCTTAGTAATATTGCCAGATATCGTATTTTTAAAAAATCAAAAAAACACTGCATCTCAATCGTTGGATAACCAACTAGTTATAAAACTGCCATAGATGGCAAGTCTCTGTTCTAATTTTTAAAAAAGATCTTACAAAGCAAAACATAAAGATTAAAGTCTGCTTTTAATTCAACAATAAGACAAAGATTACTTCAAACACAAACATAGGTGGTCTACCAATTGAAAAACCTAAGAATCTACCAATTAAAATGCATTATGTATACATTAGTGTGATTAAATAAAAAAAAGTTTAATCCAAATCTTTAAAGCACCAGAAAAATAGTATTAATGGAAAACAAGACAGTTTGGTACCTGTTAAACCATGCCATGGTACACGGTAATCTGTTGCTCTAGAAATTAGGATAATTAGGGAGTCACTTGAAATAAGAAGAGCCAGAGTTAACCAAGAGTTAGGAAGTGACAACAGGGTTCTTAATCTAAATAATTAAATGCTCCAATTTATAAGAACATTTAGAAAACAATTTGTTATTATAGGCTGACGCAACCATGTCACAGAAACATTTCAGCAGGATAATGACTCGAAACACACATCGAAGTTATTAAAACAGTATATTTCTGTTTCATATGTGAGAGTTTTAAGATCTCAATCACTGGACTTGAACCCAACATTTTTGGGGAATGCTAGATCATCAAGTTTGAAAGGATAAATTTTAAAATTAGGCTGCATTATTCAAGGATAAATGAATTAAATGAAAGGATAAATTTTAAAATTAGGCTGCATTATAAGAGTTAGAAAAAAGAAATAAAATTCTGCCTACTTGTATTAATAAAATGACTAATATCAAGAGTAACATCATTGCGAGACAATATAACATCATTGTGGCGCAAGAGTAACATCATTGTGAGGCAAGGGATACAGTGATAAAAGATTTTACACTTCAAACATTATTCATATATAAATTTCTTTTTCTCTCAAAAAGTGTACATTCATACCCCATTCTTATCCATCTATTAAAACATAAATTTGATAAAAATTTAAGGTAATTTGAAGCATTTTAAAAGGTTGAATAAGACCTTCAGACAGATCCCTAATATTATCATAAAATCTTCAGGCACAAGATTTTCAGACAGGTCCTTAATATTATTTTAAAAAACTTTATCATCAAAAGTATAACATGTAGGATCTCATCAAAAGTAAAATATGTTGGATCAGTTTTTAAAAAGAATATCTTCAAATCGCATTTTTATATATTTTTGCTTCCTTTGAGACCTAACATGATACACTTTTACAAACACAGATAAATATTTATATATTTAAAAAACATATAAAAAAATATTTTCAAAACACTTATTAAATATGTATTTTAAAATTAAGAAATACCTGACTGCGTTTGTTAATTTGTTAGTATTTTCTGACCATATTCCTTCTATGGCTTCATTATCTTCATTTTGCACTCCCTTCAAAAAAATATTTTGTTTATTCCTTAGGCCATTTAAAAATGGATGGTGATAGTAGAAAATCATTAAAACAAGTTTTTGTGTCAGCTTTCATCTTTTCTCACAATTTTATTAGTTTTTTGCAGTTACTCTTTAAACTACTTTTTGCTAGTTATTAAATTTACCATTTTTTACTAGATAAAATTATTCAATTTATAATTAAATGAAAAGTTAGGCAGTAAACACACAGGTGCTAGAATTTTACAAGTAACAATTAATCTCTTTATGTTTCTTAATGCTAGAACTTAATGCTAGAAGCTAGGCAGATAGCTATGATTAAGTGATAGACTACCAAACAGACAATGTTTTGATAAAATGAATTTGTGCTTTCCAGTTGTAAATATAAATGCTCAGAATGGTATGAATAATAATGAATAAACTTCATAAAAATAAATAATTTTAGGAGTTTTTGTAATAAATTAATTAATGATTGCTTTAATTTTTATCAATATATTTTATTTTTAATATTCAAACAAGACTGTGTTGAATTGTAATAAATTGTATTAAATAAGATTGACTTCGTTAAAAAAGATGAACTGTGGTAATAGCATTGTTAATAAACCCAGCTTTTCTAACTAACTAGCAACACTGCTTAATATAAATCTAAGAAATAAGTTTTTACCAGTGTTTTATTCTATACTAATTGCGTAAAAAACTAAAACATCAAAAACTTATTATCAACTTATTTTGTAAAATTTAATAGTAAAAAATAAGTTTTTATGACTGTAATTACACTATAACTAAGTTAATCAAGAAAATTATCATTCTGAATATTAGATATGAAGAAAATTCTGTATTTGTTTATAACAAATAAGAATGCTTAGCAAAAACCACAGTGGCTAGTGATTATCTGGCTTCACAAAACCCATGTGAATTTTTTTTAAAAAGGCCTGTTTATGCGAGATTTTACCATATATGCTTAATCTTAATAATGATTTTATTGATGAAAACTAAGATTTTTATTAATAAAAATGTTTAGGAGAACGTAGAAAAACTAATAGATAATCTTTAAAAATGTAAAAAAATCAATGAATAATTTTTATCATTCGATGGTTAATTGCTGAAACAACATTTTGTGCTAAAAAATATTTTTATAATGTTAAGTAACTTAACAATAGATAGTCCAGAAATTATAAATACTATATAAAAATTAAATAAAATTAGATATTTTAAAGAATATCTAATTTTATTTAAAATAAAAATTTGCCAAATAACTAAAAATTGCCTAATAACTAAAAATTCTTTAAGTGTTGAGAGAAACGTTACTATTTTAGATTAAACAAGGTTATACTAGGTTAAAGGCATTCTTCTACGTTTAGACAGCGCTTTTGCAGGAAAAATCATAAAAACATTTTTATGTATGAATTATTATATTTAGAACTTAAATAAAACGTTTGTTTTGCTGTTCTTAAAATAATTATATTATTTAAAAATACTTTTTTGGGGTTTTTATTTTAATTAATTAACCCCTATATAATTAAACGATCCTTTTTGCTGAGTTTTTTTAGTTATTCCATTTAAAATTTACATTTTTTATTTTAATTATTTTGATTTGTATTTATATGAAACATATAATTTTTATTTATTTTTTTAAATTGCTATATCTAGAATTAAATAAAAACGCTCATTTGGCATTATTTTTAAAGTTATTTTATTTAAAATTTAAATAAAACGTTTGTCATTTCGTTTTTGATTTAATTACATTTTTTAATATTTATTTAAAACGTTTTTTAATTGTTATTTTTATGCCATTTTATTTTAATTATTTTATCTAGAATTTAAATAAAACATTTGTTTTCCTGGTGTTTTTTATTTTTATTAATGCATCTAGCATTTATTTAAAGCATTATTTTCGCTATTTTAATTTAATTAGCAGAAAAATAAGAATTTTTTGCGCAAGCCAAACTTAAAATGACTGATTGGCCAGCGCTATCTTGTGCACTGGGATTAAATTTCAAATGAAGAAGACTGTATAGGGTACCATTTGTGTTCTAAAAATAGAACTACTTAATATGATGCAGGTCATCATGGGATTGATATTCAGAAAAACAATTTGATAAATATGAAGAGCAAATGTCCTACAAAGTACTGCTTATGTGGAATTTTAGATCAGATGATACTTTAGATATACTGATAGATTTTTTTTTATATATAGATCACTGTCTGGGACTGTCACCAGTTTTTGTTCATTCAAAAATCTTTCAGTGCAGAAACACCATCATTGTTCATTCAAAATCACCATCATTGTTCATTCAAAAATCTTTCAGTGCAGAAACAATAATATTTTAAAAGGTTGTTGGCATATTAACTATGTAATCATTTAACAAAACATATTTACAAAACAAAAGAAGTTTTGTAAATATGTTTTGAACAAAAAAATGCTATGCGCGCTACCAAGACAATTTGCAATACAGTTACGTCTTGCTGTTTTTACAGTTTTTTTAGTAACATGTTGTTTTGACTAATAATGCTTATAGTGCCAGTTATGTCCAATAGTATACCATTTTTCATAGAATGGTACATAAATAATAAATATCCACAAAAGAATCAACTTTATTTATAGTATTAGAAGTTAAAAAAATAGTCTCAAATACTTTTAACTACTATTTAAAAATATCCTTTCTTAAGAAACTTTGCCATTAGTTTTATTTAATTGACATCTTTTACCTCCTTTTCTTGTCCATGAAACTTAAGGCATCATTTTATCTTTTTTTTTTTTTTAATTTCAGCATAATTTTTTTTTCAAATGAACAACTTTATTCAAATTTGTGTCCAATCCCAATATAAATTTTTGTCACTGTCATAAGTCTTATAAAAAATACATTAGTCATATGACAATACTAATGGTTTGTTTGTCCAAATATCAATTCCGGAATTGTAATTATCAAAATTTCGGGATGTCATCAAAATTAGTTTATTTAAATAAAAAGACTATGTAAGTGGCATTTGCATTCATACAAAACATTTTAAAAGCACAATATTTTCTTTCTTTGTCATGTAAAATAATTTTCATGTTTTGAAATCAACTTTTTAATTTTTTTTCTCTAAAGATAAATTAAATATTAAAACTAAAAAAAATAATAAAAATAAAAAAGTTTGGAAAAGTAATTTTTTTTATCATTTTAAAAATATTTTTTCAGTATAAAATGTTAGATAACAAACACGAGATTTCATTTTAAGGCCTTGTTTCAATTCCATGATTACATAGCAACTAAATAATTAATAATCCGATTGTCAATAATAAATTATTATAATTGAAAAAACTACTTAATTTTACAAGTAATATTTTTAATACTTAAATATCAACAATAGTAATTTCTTTTAATTAAAAAATTTCAGAATGTTAATTCCCATCTGACTGCTGTGATTGCTCAATTAAACCCTGGACAGTTCCTTTAAATTATTACAATCAATAAAAGCAATTTATGTTACATAATTTTAAAAATATTTTTTGCAATTTGTTTTGATGCTGATGTTAGATGTTTGCATTTTATTATGGAAATATACTAACATTTTAAATCAGATAGTAACTTAATTTTTGAAAGCATAAATAAAACAAATATAAAATTATTTGGTGATCATTTGTTTTTACAATATTCAATATAAAGAATATTGTAAAAACAAATTTTTCCGAAAGGCCCTTATTAGATAAAAAGCTTAAGGTCCATGTGGGATCCCCATATTGCCTATGGGATCAGCATTCCACTGACCATGGATAGGCAAAACCTATTTTATTTAAGCTTGTAAGCAAATAACTTTAAATGTTATTCAACCTACCCTTTATAAGGGAAATGAGTTTTCAATTTTTTTTTTTAAATTATATACTCAGTTTATATTCATAAGAAGATTTCAAGTTTCATCTTATAATCTTTTATTTAGCTTGTCACTAGAAATAATCATAATTTTTGCACTTATAAATAAAATATGATTTCTAACAATGAGCTAACAACTGATTACAATTAAACTGTAGAACTATTTTAAAATCATTTTAAAAAATCATTCATTTTTATGAATTAATGATTTTTTTTAATTGAGTTACCCTTTTTTAAATCATAGCTATTAAAACTAATCTGATAAATTAACTAAGGAGGAGATTAAATAAATACATTAAACAAACAAAAATTATTTTTATGAAATTGAATTTACCATGACATTCTTTAGCTTTTTCACTTCTTCTTCAGAAACACGATATTCATCAAGCTCTCGTTGAATTGCTTCAGCAACAGTCGGAAAAGGACTGAGAAAAAATAAAAAACATCAATTATAAATATTAAAAAAATGTGTAACTATTTTCATTAATGAATAAAATATGATCAGCTCTTAAAATCAAAACTATGTAATAAAAATACTCAATTAGTTAATTACCTCACCTTGCTTTGTGTTGATCCCAAAACTTGTCTTGGCTTGTAAAGTCATACTTCTTTGGTTTGCTTTTTGGTGGCCCTCCTTCCTTGATTACTTCAGGATCTGTAACTGTTACACGATTTAACTCTAAATTCTACAAACAAAAACTTTTTTTTCATAAAAAGACATTTTAAAGAAAAAAAAAAAAAAAAAATCTAAAAGAACTGTAGGGATTAGAGTTAGCATTTTAAAACTTTACGTGTGCAAAATATGATAGGACACACCTATGCATGCTAATGTGTAAATTGTATTATATAAAAAAAATTTATTCATAAAGCGCTCAATGTTCATAACAAACAGAGCCGTCATAAACTAATCAAAATCTTTATGTAGAATATAGTAATTTACATATTGGCTAAGCTCATTACTTTCTGGCCGGGTATACTTAGCAATAATATGAGAAATACTTAACATATTAATTTAAGATTTTTTTTGTAATAAAATTTATTGTATTAATGTTAAAATTTTTAAAGTTTTTCCAATACAATGTTTTCAATCAGTTTATATAGATTTCAGAGCTTAGAAAGTAATTTTTTTGAGAGTAGATGCCACCATGATCTGGATCTTGCTTAGTGAACTTTTTCAATGCTGCTATCCATTTTTACTTAAACTTTTGATCATCTTTTGCTGATTTGTTAATTTTTAACAATTTCTTTTACAATCAACAAATAACTCTCTATATAACATGGCTAAAGACAGTTTGGAAGACTCACATTTTTTGGGACAATTTTGATGTCATTTTGGTTGTCTTAGTAGCGAATCATTGACAAATCCAGAAAAAAAATAACTGCCTTGTTGTGTTTGTTATTAAATGACAAAACACATTTCCAAAACATTTCGTGATGTACAAATCAGAAATAAAAGTTTTTTGAGTGATAAATGAAGCACCTATAAAGCCACAAGAGCAAACTGTTTGCCACAAAGGTCTTTAAAGCAATCTTTTCAGTCTGAATATACTTAAATTTGTTGCTGACATAGGCACATTTTGAATGCTTATAATATTGATGACCGGGACCATGAAAAATTTTTTGCAGTAGGTTTGAATAATGCAAGTAAATTTTTTGGTTAAAAAGTATAACAAGCTTCTTTGCACAACCAATTGCTTTAAATTCTCCATAACCTGATTGCTTGAGATTTTTTTTCTTGGTGTAAGCCTTTAAACCCTTGCTCATAAGTGCTTTTCTGAGAAGGAAACAGCTGCATTTGATTTTTTTTTGACAAGATCTCTTTGAAATCAGCATGGATTTCTTGTTATTGACTGGATGATCAAATTCACTTTGTTTTTTGTCAAAAAAACCTTTTATCTTTCCACCTTTCGCACTTTCGACCTCATTTTCTTTCAATTTGATTCTTCTTGTATCACCTCAATA